TTTTTTAGAAAAGAATTTGGAGGAGGTAGTTTGCGTTTGGTTTGGAAGGAGGATATAAAAGTTACGGTGGTAAATTTTTTGGGTTTCTACGTTGGGTCTTCTACGTTGGGTCTATGCATGACGTGCATGAAAAAGTAGGGCAATCCTCTCTATTAAATTACCCTTTAATTTATATATCCACAACGAAAAATATCAAAAAATATATAGAATGAACATTAATTCTTTTCTTCCTATGGTCTTGTTGCTAGCATTCTAGTTCCTTTCTCATATTACTATAAATGTTCTATACTATGAGACAAATTTATCATTTGCTGCCTCTAATTAATAACAAACCCCCAAAATCTCAGTCCGAGCATAATGAAGTACACATGCATGAGGATTTAATTAGCACCTTTAGATAAAGTTCTCAGGGTGTCTTCTATGTCGGTAGCTTTCACTTTATTCCCTAAACTATACCTCAGCTATTATAATATTATTGTCATGTAATCTCACTTTCTTTGCGAAATAAAGAAGCTAAAAGGCAATTAGCAAGCGTTAACTACGTAGATTCCGGTCATAGTCATGTGATTAAGATTCAGCAAGCAACGTACTTTAGCATAATAATTACCATATATATGTATCTACCTACTTATCCTATTTGTATTTCATGCATTTAGGTAAATTAATCCCTTCTTAATTAATTATCAGAGGATATCGCATGCATAAACATCATAAAGTAGCCACTGGGGGCTAATTAAGTGAGAAAAACGAAAATGTTTTTTTAGGGTTTCATGGAATTCCCGAGTGCGAGTTAAATATATACTCGAATTTAGAATAGAATATAAAGTTATAACCCTATATCTTAATTAATAAATCGTTCTTTTTTAACCAAAATTTTTTCAGTACTTACATATATAACACCAACGTGCCTTACTTTTTTTTTCTTTTTTCCCCGCATTTTACAGGACGCATATGCTCTGTGTAGAGTGTTCAAGAAAAAAGCAGTGAGCGCCAAAGTAGAAGACCAGAGATCACAGTGCGGTAACTTGCTGTTCATGATTGAAAGCCCACAACAAGCTGCTCCGCCGTCGATCAGCACGAGACCATGTCGCCGGATATTGTTCCGTTGAGATCGTCACCGTGCGTCGACGACGAAGAAGACAAGGGTGAAGACGACGGTTGGATGCAGTTCATCGCAGACTACGGAGATGACAGTACTCCTCATCCTTCTTCTTGTGTGGCTTCTGCTAATTAGTTAACTAAAGAGTTTTTTGGGGTTAATTGCTGATGGCCCCCTATATTTCGCCTAATTTTGGATTGACCCCATCTACTTATACTGTTGCAGATGGAACCCTAAGTGAAAACTTCACCCTCGAGAGAGTCCTCATTTTTTTGACAAATATTAGGTCCCCTGATCGAGTATAAATTAAATACCTGTTTAAAAAAAGTTCACTCTCAGGAGCTCTATATATATAAGCAGCAATATAACTTTGAGATGTCTGTTCGCAATTGGGTGATAGTACATGAGTTCCCTCCGCAATATCCTCTAAATTATAGTAGTTACACCCTCTGAATCACACGACAGAGGAATCTAGGATTTTGGAAAGCATAATTTGTCAATAAAAAGTTTAAGGGGGTATAACTGCATCCCTATAATATATGAGGTTAATTTATCTGCAATTAACCCCTTTTTTTCCCTTTGGTTTTGAGTGATATTGATGGCTAATCAATAACATGATTTGGGTGCATTATTGTCATTTGTGTAATAATTAAAAAGAGTCTTGACAAGTATGTGGGCTTCCAGTGCTCGTAGCTTGCATGGGGTTGGCTGTGGTCTTTTTATTTGTGGCCTAAAACTTTATTCTTTGTGGATATGTATGTAACATATATATACGAAACAATTTCTTGTATTTTTATTTTTCTTATGATATATTTCGGTAATGAAAGGAAAAGTGGTGGGTGCGTTGTTTTGTTGCCATAATTATTGCATGGATTGTTAAACTCTTTGTGTTACTTTCTTTCTTGATTAGACATTCGTCGAGCATGAGGAATTGGCTTTAAGCATGATCATATGATCTTTTTAGAAACATATTATAAAGATGAAAAAGAGAAATATGATGGTGAAGAAAATAGAGATCCGATTATTTTCTAGACATACGAATCTGTAAAAACGGCGAAGGAATTGTGAAAAACGTGAAGAATAACCCAAAACAGACTCCACCACACCCTGGTGTGGTGTCTGCCATGGGTGTGGTAGAGTCTGTCCTGCACCACACCCTCTGCCACACCCACGGTACAGGGTGTGGCAGAATCTGTCCTGCACCACACCCTCTGCCACACCCATGGTGCAGGGTGTGGCAGACTCGTTTTTAGAATCCCAATCAGTTTGGGATTGTGTTTTGCTATAAATAGAGAAACGTTTTTTAGGGTTTCCTAGGTTTGGTTTAGGCTTTGATTAAGCATTGATTGGGGGCTATTTGGAGCACAAAAAGAGGTATTTTTGAGCTATTTGTTTAGGGTTTTATTTGGAGAGATTAAGAGCTTTGTGGTGAGATTAGTTTGTTCCTTTGAGCGTATTGTAATCTCAGTTTGTACTCTTTCTCTATTAGTGAAAACCCCATCCCCCCTTGCCCCGTGGACGTAGGCAACTTGCCGAACCACGTTAAAATTGGTGTTTTGTTTGTGCATTGATATTTGGTTCGTTTGGCTCTCTTGGATTGGCGTTTGGTTTGGTTCCTCGATACAGCTTCAGGCACAACAAGTGGTATCAGAGCTCGGGCAACGCTTGGGCTATTTGGAGGCGTAGATCGCTTTGGAAGTTCATCTAGGGCTTCGTTTGGTGATAAAGGTGGGATCTTTTTAGTAAAAATCTCGTCTTTTTCAGTTTGGATCTATTTCTCGTTTGTTTCCGCATTGGTTTGGTGGTGTTTTAAGGATTATGGCCGAGAAAGAAGGAGTTGTGGGCAGTACTTCCGGCGTGAAGACCGTCCAAAGCTTGAATATCCACTCGATGAAGATTGACGTGGAAAAGTTCAATGGCACAAACAATTTTGGACTTTGGCGATGCGAAGTCATGGATGCGCTCAACGCGCAAAATTTGGAAGATACGTTAGAGTTGGACGGGAAACCGGACAATATTGATGAGAAGGTTTGGAAAAAGATGAATCGAACGGCGTGTGGTGTGATTAGGTCTTGTCTCACTCAAGATCTAAAGTATGATGTGATCAATGAGACTTCTGCAAAGAAGATTTGGGAGATCCTTGAGAGCAAGTATTTGACCAAGAGTGTGGAGAATCGCTTGCATTTGAAGAGGAGGCTTTACCGCTTCCAGTTGAAGAAAGGAACCTCCATTGGTGATCACATGAACCACTACACGAAGCTTCTTGCGGATTTGACGAATGTAGATGTAAGCCGAATGCCCAAAGTTAGTTGATCGAGCTGGGAAGAATAAAGGAAAAGCTATTCAAGTTTCAGAGGCGAATGTTGTTAAGGCTAGTGGCAACGATTCAGATTCGGATTCTTCGGGCTACTCATTATCTGCACTGCCGTCAGTTTGTGTTGTCTACTCTACAGAGTGGATGTTAGATTCGGGGGCTACATACCACATTTGCCCTAGAAGAGATTGGTTCTCCAGCTTTCAGGAGTTGGAAAGAGGGGATTTTGTGCTCATGGGGAATGATCACAAATGCTCTATTGGTGGTATCGGTACCGTTCGGATCAGGATGAGTGACGGGGTGATTCGGGAGTTGGTTGGAGTGAGGTTCGTTCCTCAGTTAAAGAAGAACATCATTTCACTTGGAGCTTTGGAGGCAGCAGGCTATAGGGTGGGGTGACCTTGGCGGATGCACGCTTGAAGGTTACATTTGGGTCCATGATTGTGATGAAGGGCGTCAGAAGGAGTAATTTGTACTATTTGCTTGGGAGAACGGTGATTGATAGGGAGATGACGACTTCATTAGATTCGGCTAGACTGTGGCATTGTTTGGTGCTGGGGTATATGATTGGTAATGCCGTGCATTGGTTGTTGAGGAGTGCTATGACCTGCAGATTGAAGTCCTGTGAGCATATTTGGATGAGCAAGACCGTGGTGGAGTTTGGCATTCCTATCCATCGAGCGAGGGGTCTTTTAGGAGGTGTTCAGTCAGGCATTTGGGGGCCTTCCAAGGAGGCATCATTGGGAGGTAATCGTATCTTAGTTTCCGCAGTTGAAGATTGTTCTAGGCATTATTGGGTCGCGACCAGTTCCCGTTGGTGTAAAGTCCTAGAAGTCAACAACAATTGGAAGAAGTGTATTGGCAGAAAGGTAACTCGTTCTAGATTTGATAAGGGTCCTTTCTTGCGTTTGTGCCGAGCTCACAGCAATAGGAGACACTTCATTGGTGTGGAGACTTTGGGGCGACGAGATGAGATGATAGTTTCGATGGGTCGTTCCTTTCTGGAGGAGGATCGGCGTTGGTTGTCGAGCATTAGTTCTGGATCTTCGACATATTTGGGTCATCTTAGTCACAGGTCGCCGACTGCTGCATTAGGAGTTATTGGATCTGGTAGAGCTGCTTCAGATTTTGGGTTGCGTCGGATATTTGGATACCCAGCATTTGGTCACATCAAGGATGTGAGATTTGATCCGATTGCGCGTTTGGGGTTCGGAGGCTCAGTTAATTATCGTTTGGGAGCTTCTGATTTTGTTCTGAGCAGGTATGTCATTTTTGACTCTCGGCAGGTGGAGAGTGTTGATCAGGTCGTTTGGATATCGCAGCAGGTGGAGGGTGATGCTACTTCACGTTGGGTGGAACTTATTCCACATACTCCAGATCATACTACGTTATTTGGGATTCCAGCTGAGGTGACACAGGTTGGGGATCATTTGATTTCGGATGCAGATGATGGATTGGTTTTGGATTCGGTTGCAGCTGGTGGACATGATTTGGATACGGCCATTGGTTCACCTCAGATGGAGGTGTTTGATTTGTATCAGTTTGGGGCCGCTATTAGTTGCAGATCCGTTGGCGATATTGGGGAAGAGTTGCAGACTTTTCTATTTGTTTGAGGGCCTTTGGAGGCCGTTTGGGTGAACTACGTGAAGGCTTAATTCCTTGGGCAAGAGGATACGTAGGCAGTCAGTTTTGATGCAGCCGATTTGGTGAGTAGATACCGACGTTTGGGTGAGTGTTCGCACTCCCGTTTGGGTCTCGACTTGTGTGGATGGAGTCCATTGTCATGAGTCCATTATCGTGGCGTACTGGATGCAACAAGTGAGGCATTTGTTTTGGTTGGTGTCGACTCAGTGTTGGGAACACTTCGTCGAGGTGGAGAATTGTAAAAACGGCGAAGGAATTATGAAAAACGTGAAGAATAACCCAAAACAGACTCCACCACACCCTGGTGTGGTGTCTGCCATGGGTGTGGTAGAATCTGTCCTGCACCACACCCTCTGCCACACCCATGGTGCAGGGTGTGGCAGACTCGTTTTTAGAATCCCAATCAGTTTGGGATTGTGTTTTGCTATAAATAGAGACACGTTTTTTAGGGTTTCCTAGGCTTGGTTTAGGCGTGGCAGAATCTGTCCTGCACCACACCCTCTGCCACACCCATGGTGCAGGGTGTGGCAGACTCGTTTTTAGAATCCCAATCAGTTTGGGATTGTGTTTTGCTATAAATAGAGACACGTTTTTTAGGGTTTCCTAGGCTTGGTTTAGGCTTTGATTAAGCATTGATTGGGGGCTATTTGGAGCACAAAAAGAGGTATTTTTGAGCTATTTGTTTAGGGTTTTATTTGGAGAGATTAAGAGCTTTGTGGTGAGATTAGTTTGTTCCTTTGAGCGTATTGTAATCTCAGTTTGTACTCTTTCTCTATTAGTGAAAACCCCATCCCCCCTTGCCCCGTGGACGTAGGCAACTTGCAGAACCACGTTAAAATTGGTGTTTTGTTTGTGCATTGATATTTGGTTCGTTTGGCTCTCTTGGATTGGCGTTTGGTTTGGTTCCTCGATACAGCTTCAGGCACAACAGAATCAACATTAAGTGGATTCTAGATAGAAAGTTAAATGCACAAGAAAAGGAAAAAAAAAAACAAAAAACAAAAGAAAATTTTGTAAAAAGGAACATGCATGTGAAGTATAGAATATTGATGGTTTTCTTTAATTTTTTATTTTTTATTTCTTTTTGGAGAAGAAAGGATGACACCTCAAGGAGGAGAAATTCTAGGTGCTCCATGAGCACCTAAGTGCATACACCCCATCACATTCTTCCGTCTAGTGATACATGCCCCTTCCTATTGGAGAGGTGTAGGCATCTTGCCAACTCCATGAGTAGGCAAAGAATTTCAAAAAAAAAAAAGAGAAAAGAAAAAGGATTTGTTACATATAATAGAGTACACCTCAAGTCCCAAAAGTGCACTCCAAAGATGTTATTGTATAATAATGATTCTATTAGAGCACTCCATAAAAATAAATAATCTATGCCATTCATGAGTGGTTAGAGCGTTAATTTGAGAATTACAATTTCTCCTTTTATAGTATATATCACCTCCACTGTTTTCTCACCAAAAGATGAGGCAGATGAACTTATAATCTCAACTACACACACATACATACCCATGCATACATACATGCGTATATATGTATATATGTGCATGTATACATATATACGTATATATGTATATATAAGTATGCATATATATGTATATATGTATATATATATATATGGGGAGGTTCTAATAAAAACCTCCTTAGCCTAAAAACTAAAAACCAATATCATCCAATGGCTAGGATTTAGTCAAACAGTCAACAGACACATACATTAATTACCTCATTAAACACATGCATTAATTACCTCAACGCAGTGAATCCAGATTCACTACAATGAATACAGATTCCTTACCTCAACGAACATGTCCTTCACTGCAGTGAATCCAGATTCATTACCTCAACGAACACGTTGAACACGTTTTTCA